TGAAGTACCTGAGTGATAGCAAGAGAAAGAATAAAGTGTTTTTACCTAGGATTAAATAACATTAAACATTGGGGCTTGAGGATGTTTTGTTACAATCATTTCTAAACCAATACCATATCTTGTAGCAAAATAAAAGAAGGGAGAGAGGGAAGAAGGATGGAAGAGAGAGGTAAGGAGGAAAGAATGGAGGAAGAGAGTGAGGGGGAAGGGAGGGAGCGAGAGGAGGAATGAAGGAAAGGGAAAGGGAAACAGAAAGGGAGGGAAAAAACAGATCTAATGTGTTTAGGATTTAATAATAAGTCTCTGAACTTTAGCAAATCTTTTTTTGTAATAGATCGTTTACTCATAAAAACAAGAAGTCCTTTACAGTCATCTTAAATCACAAGAAAAAAAAAAATCCTGCAAACTACACCATGCACTGCACTGTTCTTTTTCTTCCAAAGCTGTGCTTCCTGTCTGACCTCTATAACAATATAGTGTTTTTATTGTTATAGGGGATTGTACAGCTGAGGATAGTAAAGTTTTGGCTGTTCATTTTTTTTTTTTTTTTTTTGCACATGAATTACCATGTTTTAATGAAACAATTATCTTCTTTATTTTCCCTTTTTAAATTATGATTGTAACACCTCTGTTTCTGTATCTCTGGGTAAAAAAGAAAACGAAAATAATTCAGTCAATAATCCAGATGTTTTCAATCTTCTTATGGATGAGTTACTGTGAAGATAAAGCATCTGGGTAAATGACAATTTGGCTTTTATACAGATTCAGAAACAAATAGAGACAACTCTCCTCTCTAAACTTGACAAGACCAATTTCCTTCATGAGAACATTAAATATTTACATTATTATATTCCAAAGCAAGAGCTTCATGCTTCAGTGGCACTGAACAGCAATAATTTAATAAAATATTCATATGAGGGGTGGAGGGTGTTAATCTGTTCTTGTATCTTCCGCAGACTAGCTCTCCATTTAGAATATTAGGTTTTATTTGAATCAGATATCAAAGAATGCCTATATTAATGAAATAAAAAAGGATGTTAGTCACTAGAATCTGTTGGTACTAATACAAATTGCATGAGAGTAACAATAATAATGTGTGATGTTTAATTTTAGGTGTCAACTTGACTGTATTAAGAAATACCTAGCAACCTAGAAAAGCATTATTTTTTACTGTGTTTGGGAAGATGTTTCCAGAAGAGACTAATATATGAATCTGAGAGCACAAGATGAGATCTTTCCTTATTGCGGGAGGGCACTATCCAGTCAGCCAGGACCAGAGGAAAGAAGTATCCATCTGCTGAAAGTTGGAATACATGCTTCTTCTAACCCTGGACAACAACTCCAGGCTCCCCCTTTTTTGGAGCCCAGGACTTATACAAGTGGACCCCTGAGTTCTCAAGCTTTTGGTCTTGAACTAAGAGTGACACCATTCATTAACTTCCCTGATTCTGAGGCTTTTGTACTTGGACTGAGCTACAATACCAGAATTCCAGGGTCTCCAGCTTGCACATGGCCTGTTACAGGACTTTTTAGACTCCATAATCAAGTCAGCCAATCTATATAACAAGTCTCCTCTTTTAAATTTGTATCTCTATCTGTGAATTCTGTCTCTCTGGAGAACCCTGATAAAACATGGTCATATAAATAAATTGATTGCAGAGTCCCTTCTTACAACTCAAGTCAAAGGTACTAATTTTTATCCACACATTATAGTTACTTAACATATCCCTTATTTCAAATTATATATCTCAGTTTCTAAGGAGCTCATTTGTACACATATATCAATGTAATCAGAGAGCAAACTTTCGTGAATTATCCATATACATATGAAATCAGATATATCTGAATTTATATGAAAGGTTCATAGAAGTGTACAAGTATGTAAAAAATTCAGCGTCTAAGTCAATAACAAGAAAAGGGGACCCTGTAGAAAATTTGAAATTTGAAAAAGAAAATACCTTCTCTTAAACATTAACATGTGTTTACTCGCACACTTCTTAAAGAAATGCATTACCACCTATTTGAAATACAAAACTAGGAAACTCATGAATGCACTAGAAATATCAGATGTTTTGTTAAGAGTTCATAATAACTCATAACATACTTGCCCTTTCCCTTGGAATCAAACATCAATTTGATAGCACTTTAAGGAAGAATGGTTGAAAATGTTGAACTTAGTGTGTGTGTGTGTGTGTGTGTGTGTGTGTGTGTGTGTGTTTGAGTTTGATTGCCCAGCCTCTGTTGCCCAGGCTGGAGTGCAGTGGTGCAATCTCAGCTCACTGCAACCTCTACCTCCAGAGTTCAAGCGATTCTCCTGACTCAGCCTCCTGAGTAGCTAGGATTACAGGCACACACCACCACGCCTGGCTAATTTTTGTATTTTTAGCAGAGATGGGGTTTCATCATGTTGGTCAGACTGGTCTCGAACTCCTGACCTTGTGACCCACCCTCCTCGACCTCCCAAAGTGCTGAGATTAAGGGCATGAGCCACCATGCCTGGTTCTTCAGTATCATTTTGTAACTACTTATCACAACATACAACTTTAAAAATGATAAACTTATTTTTATGCAAATGAGTAGAGATCCTGTCTACATTCCTGTTAGTAGTTGACCTCTGATTCACCTATATTGAAATTATTTTACAAAGCACAAAATGATCTAGTGATCTAGCTAGTAGCTATTTATCTACCCATCCAAATATATTTGTGTAGTTTAGCGAGACAGAAAACCAAACGCTGGAAAATCAAATGGGATGAGGACAATGGAAATTGAAAAAAATCAGTCATTTCATTAGTAAAATCCACATGTTTTCTATGGCAAATAACAGTCACTCCAACCTGATTATAGTGACAGCACATTGACACAACGTGGCTATTAATTCTCTTGGAATAATACATTTAATAAAAATTGCAAATTCTCATGAAACTCAGTATCACCAGGGACCTCATATGCTTGTCACAGGCTTCGGTGAGCTTTTCTGCAAGCCTGAATACACTAACTACATATATCCACATATGCTATTATGTATTAAGAAAAAGTAAAAGAATATTATAATTGTATTTATGAATGTGTTGGCTTTCTTCAGTGAGTTTTGACACAGTCACCTTTAAGAAGGAAACACAGAACTCCTCTGCAAGCATTTGTGTCAGGTCACATTTATGTGAGAAGTAATTCCTCCATTTTGACCAGATAAAGTAAATTATCTTAAAGGTGACAAAACATTTTCCAGTTCACAACCAAGAAAATAACTGTTAAAACTTTCCTGGCTAATGGGAATACTTAAATTCTGTAAATATCCTTCTTGCAGAAGCAATAATTCTCCACTTGTTTTTATGTATTTCTACACATAGCATTGTTCTCAACAGTATTATATTTGGTATTTTCTAAATAGTTACAAAAATGAGTCTAAGTAAGTAGTACCCAATTTCCCCTTAGTAAATAAAACTGGAGGGAACAGAAACCTTCTGATTTTCATCTTAGGGAACATGTAAGGAAAGTGTCTTCTGCTCTGATCATTCATTTTATATTTCATATTTCAAAGGAGAAAACTTTTTTTGAGACTGAATTTTGCTCTGTTGCCCAGGCTGGAGTGCAAAGACAGGACCTCACCTCACTGAAACCTCTACCTCTCGGGTTCAAGTGATTCTTCTGCTTCAGCTTCCCGAGTAGCTGGAATTATGGGCATGCGCCACCATGCCCAGCTAGTTTTTTTGTATTTTAAGTAGAGATGGGTTTCACATGTTGGCCAGACTGGTCTCAAACTCCTGACCTCTAGTGATCCACCTGCCTTGGCCTCCAAACTGCAGGAATTATAGGCGTGAGCCACCATGCCCAGCCAGAAAACACACTGTTAAAGAACAAAATTCAAGGACATAATATAAAAAGTATAATTTCTCAGAATCAACAATTTCAGAAATATCAAACACTGAATTTGAGGTTTAGTCATTCAGTTAATCTTTTACATGAAAATCATTTTTATAATCAGAACTAATTTTTTGTGAAGTAATCTGATTCATTTTTAACCCAAATTGGATATTCTGCCCCGGAAGCACAGAAGTTGAGAATACTGAAAACATTTATATAAAAATGTCAATCTAATTCATTGAACTAACTGGGACTGAACCAAAATATGTATATATGAAGGTTGTAGGATTGCCAAGGAAGACAACTATGAAGTTGCTTTCAGTGGGTCAAACTGTTTAAAATCTCTATACTTGGTGAGGAGATAAACAGCTTCTAGACAATGTACCTGACTCTCATGTATATAGCCATCCCTCCAAAGAAGAAGAAGCGTTTTTGTTGTGGTAATTGTCTGCTTATTACAAAGTTTATAGTCGATCCATTTAATATGAAAATTTGTTTCCCAAGAACACTTAGTGGGAGGACTACAGAGAATAAACAAAGTAAATTAAATGAATAAATTACATATGTAATAATGATTGTTTTGAAGAAAAATAAATGTCTCTGCCTTGAATGCTAGGTAGATTATATTAGATTTTGCAGAATATAGAAGGTGGCCAGACAGTCCTGTGAGAGGAACAAGGCTTTATAAAGATATTCTGGGAGCAGTGTACAGGGTGTATAAAAAAGCAGAAAGAACAGAGATGAGTGATTAGGATACTTTAAATCAGAACAGATGATAAGCAGCTGCCACAGTTCAAAGGCAATGGGAATACTGAAGGTGGGATGAACCCAAAATATACTTTAAAGGAAAATATGAGGCTTAGTAACTTACCAGATATAGGAAACAAAAAAGAGCAGATAAAGAAGTCTTTAGTGTTTTATACCTAGGGACCAAGACAATGGTGGCATCAACATCACTTATGAAGACATTATTAACAACACAACAATAAAAAAATTGCTTATTTTTACTGAAACCTGAACCACTCAAATCCTCAGTTTGTGCCTGATCTGGTCATAGCTCAAAAGTTTCCTTCCAATCCCTGCAGTGTTTTGGGACATTTATTTAATACATATGTACATGCTAGAAAAATGCTCACCAGTTTGCCACCAATGGTCTAAGACAGGTACTCTGAAGACATTTTTGGACCATTCCAGGGTCTCTATATCACATCGTTCTCCAGCCACAAATAATGTTTTGAACCTGAATATGAGACAGTGAATTCAAATTATTCCTGGCAAATAAATCTAAATAATTTCATTTATATTTTTAAAACACTGTTGAATACAACCACACTCATTATATCATGATGGAATACAGCCATATAATCAATATATCAGACTGCATAATCATGAGGAGGCATTTCTTGTTTGGACACAGATGTAACCAAATACACATCACAGAAGTGGAATGAGATACTTCAAAAGTAGAATTCACAGCCACTGCTTTTCAGTTTTTAAAAGAGCAATTGAGCTGATCTCTGTAATAGATCTGTTCATGTAATGATCAAAGATAAAATCTCTTTCACCTTGACATTATCCCTTCTAATTTTGTCTCCAAATTTTATTGCTGTATTCTAAGTAAGGATATACACAAAATATACATACATAAGTATCGGCTAAGGCAGTAAATATTTATATGAATTTGTTCCTTCTTGTGAATTCCTCTGATAAAGGTTACTCTGATTTCAAGTACACATTTTTCCTATTCCAAGGACATTTATAGAATAGATAGCCGATAAAGAAATAAATGCCATTGTGGCCTTGGAAGTCAAAAGGTTCTTCAATCAAAAGGAATCCAAGGTTACTAACAGATGCAGGAGAATAAGAGTCTTTTGCAGAAAGTACCATATGACAGAATGGAAAAAATGAAATAGAAAAATAGAATTGTGTTGACCTCATTAGTGGTTCATTGAGAGCACGGATTTTTTTTTTTTTTCATCTTCAAATGCTTTCACGGCTTATTTAAAAAAAAAAATGTGTGTGTGTGTGTGTGTGTGTGTGTGTGTATGAAGAGTTAATTCATTTATCATCAAAGACACAAACAGTTGACAAAAACCTGCCTACTCATCCTAAACAATGTAATATATTTTACCATATCCTTAATTTTTCATATCATTTCATAAAGATTCATGAAGATTCAAATATTTCCACCCCAATGTTCCAATAACGTTTCTGTCTTTTCTATAAACATGTATCTCATTCTAGAATTCTTTTGTTTTTGTATATTTCCTCCATTAAACTATGAGCGCCTTAGGAACATACATCTTTATAACCCGAAGACCAATCAAAGTACATAAAATTTTTAGGTATTTAAACATTTCCAGATGCTTAGAATGATGAACCACAGAGGTGGGAGGTTGGCAAAATTAACACCAGTTTGTAGTTTGATATATTTTTCTAAGTAAATGAGGAGGCATGTTGGTTTCTAAGAGTGTGGAAATTGAGAGGGAACAGTTGACCTGAGGAGAACAAAATTTGGGAGTAAGTATTCTAGGATTTTTTTGGAGCACAACATAAATGTGAAAAGACTTGAGAACAGCTAGTTGGTTTTTGTGGACTCAATTAGTGGCCTGGGAGGCTAAGTAGGAATAGCACAGATTGGGATGTGATACAAGGGATGGGAAATCAATGCTGGAAAGGCCGTCTGGACACTCACGAATAGGCAGGAATTATGGGGAGGTAAGGCAAAAATAACCAGAATGGAATAAAAATACAACAGTGGGGTAAAAGACTAGAAGTCACATAAGAAGGCAAGGCAGGAATAACCAGAATAAAAGAAATATACAATAGTGAGGTAAAAGAATAGAAGTCACATAAGAAAAAGTTTGATGAAAACGAAGGCAAGGTGAGAAAAAATGGGTGTCATTGTAGAGAGAAGGCAATCTCAAACTTAAGAGATTTTGAAAATGTGTCTGTTCTGAAGGATGATAGATTTTATGGTAGCTAAGAGGGTCTAACAGTGAAAGACACAGAGGGAAACAAGAGTATTTTGATAGAAGGATTCTTTTCAAAATAGTATTAACAATCACTCAAGGACCACAGCAGTGGAGAGTAAAGATAATGTCTGTGACCTGTTGATTAAAGTGGCTGAATTGAGGTCTGAAGAGTGGGGAGAGGGGTATCTCAAAGAGAAAGCATGAACTTCAGTAGAAGATGGGCCACCAAATGAACAAACTTTTTAAGTTCTCACATCACCAATTTTACTTTAACATCTTCCCTAACTGTTACAGATAATCTTGGCCCTAAAGGTGCATTTGACCTCAATAGTGAGAAAAAAGTGACAGTTTCATTATCCTACAAAAAATCAGGGTTGTAAACAGCCATTGAAAACATAAAATAATTAATTTGAATATAAAATGAATCACTGATAAATAATGTCTATGAAGTGCAACCACCTAGAATTATTCCCAGTAATTTTCATCTATAGAAGAGGCTATCTATACCCTTATAACAATAAGGGTGTCAAAAGAGGTTTTAGTTAAATTGTGGTTAAACATCCAATGTGCCATTACTATTCCACATTTGTTTTCTGAGAGAAAAAAACAAAAACAAAAACAAAAACAAAAACAAAAACAAAAAAAAACATCATGTGCAAATGTAGATACTCCAAGAATAAAATTATATTATTACATTTCATTTTTTGTAATAATGTAGTTAGAGCCATGATGATGAACTAAATTGGTGACATAGTTTGGATATTTGCTCCCTCCAAATCTCATGTTGAAATGTGACCCCCAATGTTGAAGGTGGGGCCTAGTGGGGAGGCTTGGTGCCTTCCCCATGGTAAAAAGTGAGTTCTCACTCACTCTACTTGTTCACATGAGAGCTGGTTTAAAGAGCCAGGCACCTCCTTGCTTCCTCTCTCGCTATGATAGATGCCTGCTCTCCCTGAGCCTTCCACCATGATTCTAAGCCTTCTGAGAACTCACGAGAACCAGATCTGGCCCCGTGCTTCTTGCACAGTCTGCAGACCCCTGAGACAAAATACACTTCTTTTCTTTATAACTTAACCAGCCTCAGGTATTCCTTTACAGCAAAGCAAAATGAGCTAATGCAACTGGTATGGTCCAATGGACATATAATGTGAGCTACAAATCCAAGAAATAGATGTAGTTTAAAATGTTCTAGAAGCCACATTCAGAGAAATAAGAAAAATAAAGTGAAATTGGCTCTAATAATATATTTTATTAAAATACATATATCCAAAATATTATTTCAATATGCAATGAATATAAAAATTACTGGTAAGATATCTTCCAGTCTGTTTTTAATACCAAATCTCAAATTGGACTTGCCACATTTCAAGAGTTCAATAACCACATGAGGCCAGAGGCTACTTATTGGACAGTGTAGAGGTAGACTATGACTTTCTGAAGAAGCAACAGAACTTTTACACTGGTCTGGATGAAGAAAAAATTTAATTTAATAACATATACTGAATTCTTGCTCAACATTAAGCTGATAATTTATTCTGTCATGAATCTGTGTGCATGTGCATGTGTGATTATGCAAGTGTCACCGAATGCAGCTAAGACAAAATATTACTTAATGCTTTTATAAGTAAATTGTCATCACCCAATTTGCAAAATTTAGAATATGATTGGTTTAATAACTTGGCATCTTTATAAGACTTCACATAATGGTACAATCCACTGTCAAAAATAATGTTTGAGTAGCTGCCCGCTGGTATTTTTCTCTGCATATTCAAAATTATCTAGGAGCAGCTCTTTAGCACAATAAATGCCAAAGGTAAAATGTACATGTCCTGATATAGACACAGCAGCATCACCTTGAACTTCAGAGTAGAAAATAACCTATTATTAGTCTTTGTTAAAAAATTACTTGAATAATTATTGTGAGTACCCTCTAACAGTATGCAAGGCTGCTAGGGTAATCTTTAATTCTTTGAGAACAAGGAAGGGCATAGAAAGTAAGGATGAAAATGGGATAACAAGGAAGAGAATGAATAAAAGGCAAACTAGAAAAAAAGGCAGGTCCTTTTTTGACGAATTACAGATACATTTGCAATTTGAAATAAAATTTAAGTAATCAAATATGTATACATTTGTAATTTGAAATTAAAAGTTGATGGTCAAAAATGACCTCATCTGAGAGGACTGTTAGAGCAGAAGGAAACAACTATTTAAACATTAAATTATTAAAAGCAGGTTAAAGTATAACAAAAATTAGTGTAAAGTTTTAATGTTTAAAATGAGGTTGATACACCTGTAACTTTAAATGCTATGTAAAAACAAGCCAAAATGAAAAATATAAATGCCCTAAAGTTGATAATCCTAGGACTGAAAAATAGGGCCATGTTTTTAATCATATCTTATTCAAACACTTTTCTGATATTTTAGAAAACTTGTGTGATGGAAGACGTAATACATTTAGATAACACATTAAAATGTATAAAAGGATAGGTTTGGTTGATTTCAACAGTGTAGGCAAAAAGCAACCAAAATGAATAATTTTGCAGCTATTAAAGATCACATTTTCAATGCCTATTAGGCCATAAGTTAGTTTAGAGAACTCTAGATGATTCAAATGCCCATGTCTTTGGTTTATATATGAAACTAGAGATGGAGAATTTAAAAAATATTCACTATTAAAAACATGATGTATGAGAGAGGACACAAACAGATGGAAAAACATTCAATGCTGTGGTTAGGAAGAATCAATATTGTGAAAATGGCCATACTACCCAAAGTAATTTACAGATTCAACATTATCCCCAGAAAGCTACCAATGACCTTCACAGAACTGGAAGAAAACACCTTAAACTTCATATGGAACCAAAAGAGAGCCTGCATAGCCAAGTCAATTCTAAGCAAAAAGAAGAAAGTGGGAGGCATCACACTACCGGACTTCAAACTATACTACAAGGCTACACTAATCAAAACAGCATGGTGCACCAAAACAGAGATATAGACCAATGAAACAGAACAGAGGCCTCAGAGGCAATACAACATATCTATAGCCATCTGATATTTGACAAACCTGACAAAAACAAGCAATGGGGAAAGGATTCCCTGTTGAATAAATGATGTTGGGAAAACTGGCTGGCCATGTGCAGAAAGCAGAAACCGGACCCCTTCCTGACACCTTACGCTAAAATTAACTCCAGATGGATTAAAGACTTAAACATAAGACCTAACACCATAAAAACTCTAGAAGAAAATCTAGGCAAAACCATTCAGG